CAGAGGCAGAGGCAGAGGCAGAGGCAGAGGCAGAGGCAGAGGCAGGAAAATCTCTGTGAGTTTAGGCAGAGGCAGAGGCAGAGGCAGAGGCAGAGGCAGAGGCAGAGGCAGAGGCAGAGGCAGAGGCAGAGGCAGAGGCAGAGGCAGAGGCAGAGGCAGAGGCAGAGGCAGAGGCAGAGGCAGAGGCAGAGGCAGAGGCAGAGGCAGAGGCAGAGGCAGAGGCAGAGGCAGAGGCAGAGGCAGAGGCAGAGGCAGAGGCAGAGGCAGAGGCAGAGGCAGAGGCAGAGGCAGAGGCAGAGGCAGAGGCAGAGGCAGAGGCAGAGGCAGAGGCAGAGGCAGAGGCAGAGGCAGAGGCAGAGGCAGAGGCAGAGGCAGAGGCAGAGGCAGAGGCAGAGGCAGAGGCAGAGGCAGAGGCAGAGGCAGAGGCAGAGGCAGAGGCAGAGGCAGAGGCAGAGGCAGAGGCAGAGGCAGAGGCAGAGGCAGAGGCAGAGGCAGAGGCAGAGGCAGAGGCAGAGGCAGAGGCAGAGGCAGTCCACCTCTCGTAGGATTATGGGCTCATGCTATTTATTTTTTACTTTTATGTGGGGTCTCAGGATCAAACTTAGGTCCTCATGCTTGCATGCTAAGTATCTTACCTATTGAGATATTCCTCTAGCCCTGATGAAAATGTATTTTAAAAAAGAATAAACTACTTGTGTAGGGTTGAGGCCTAAGGAATGATGATGATGGGAGAAACAGTCTTCCCCAAGGAAGAGCACACCATTTGGTTTTCTACAGTCCTAAAAACATACTGTAGTAGTTTGAATAAGAATGGCCCCCATAGGCTCATATATTTGAATGCTTAGTCACCAGAGAGTGGAACTATTTGAAAGGATTAGAAGGATTAGGAGGTGTGGCCTTGTTAGAGAAATGTCACTCAGGTTGGGCTTTGAGGGTTCAAAAGTCTACAGCAAGCCCAAGCTCGCTTTTCTGTTCTGCCTAGAGATCAGGATGTAGCTCTGAGTTACTGTTCCAGTGCTTCCTGCATGCCACCATGCTCCCCACTAGGTCATCCCTGGCTCTGTATTTTCTTGTATGCATGCCAACCTCATGGTTTTATAGCCTTAGCAGGGGTTGGCATGAGTTTCCCTTAGCCCCTCTACCTGATTAGAAAGCTCAGCTCTTTGCTCTTGGCCTCGGAGTAGGGAAGCTGGCTTGCACCTGAGTTCCCTAATTGGACTTAAGGCCAGCTCAATAGGAGGGAAATGCCTGGTACTGGAAACCTAGCCAACTCCCCAGCACTAGCGATGTTATGGATCTTAGAGGAGAAACTACTACTGCCACAGTTCCTAACTACATTTTAAAACTCACCCTTATACCAACAGTTAAGTGTGGCTCTTACCTCACACTAAAGAAACTTCTCCTTGTAGCAAACAGAGACGATTACACAAAACCACAACCAATTGTGGGGAGCCCAGCCAGCCAGAGTAGATACATTTACAACACAACATCTGTACCTAAGGTTCAGGGAATATCATGGGCGAGAAGGTTAGAAAGATCAGAAAGTCTGTTGAGAGAATGTGTCTTCCAAGAATGATGGGGAAGATAGACAACGATGGGTGAAATCTCAGGAGGCCTCTCTTAGTCAGGGTTTCTATTGATGTGAAGAGACACGATGACCACAGCAACTCTTATAAAGGAAAACATTTAATTAGGGCTGCCTTATAGTTCAGAGGTTTGGTCCATTAATGTCATGGCAGGAAGGATGGTGACACGCAGGCAGACATGGTGCTGGAGAGGGGCTGAGAGTTCTACATTTGGATCTTCAGGAAGAAGGAAGGGTGAGTGAGCCGCTGGGCCTAGGTTGAGCTTCTGAAACCTCAAAGCCCAGTAATATATTTCCACCAACAAGGCCACACCTCCTAGTAGTGCCACTCCTTATGAGCCTATGTGGGCCATTTTTATTCCACCTACCACAGGCCCCACCCACAGATAATGCACTACATACAACCAAGGAATGTGGAGAGATGAACTGGTTTTTTTCCCCCAGTACATCTGTGTGAATGTATGTCACATGCTGCAGGTGTTTCTGGAGGCTGGAAGAGAATCTGGGTCGCCTGATGCTGTGTGGGTGCTAGGAACCAAACTCACGTTCTCTGGAACTAAACAAGAACTCCCAAAAGCTGGCTCATTTTTCCAGATTCTTTTACACTAACTTCTTTTCCTCGGAAATCCAGGCTTCGGCACCTGATAGTCCTGTATAACTCCCAGCTCTCTATCTTGGTAAAGTGGCGTTAGTCCACTCGTCAAGCCACGCAGAAATCCCCAAATGATCCCTGATAATCCTTTCTTTCAGCACCTGCAAACATCAATTACCAAGCCTTAAATCTTCCTTCCCAGTCATCTTCTCTGTGCCTGTCTCCATCCATCCCTGGCAGCTCTTGCCTGGAAGACATGATAAGGCTCAACTGGACTCTCTGTCTGCAGTCCTCAAATCATCGCCCCCAGTACCACGGAAATGATCAAGCAGAAAGTACCCGCTCTTGAGCACAGCAATGTGGGCACACTCAACCCAACCCCCCACCCAAACCTGAGCCATGCAAACCCTTCTGTTTAGTCCATGTTCATCTGTTCCATGTAGTTCTGCAAAATACAAAAAGTATCTCAAAAAGTCCCTGCTGTTTTACTACGTGTCTCTGTTCTGGAGGGAAATGATACATTATGAATGGTAATACCTACAAACAATCTCTGTGGTTAAAATAGGAAATCCAATGTTTTTATTTTCTATCCATTGCTTTCATACCTCCATGAAATGTTTAGAGGTAGAATATTCAAAATTTTAAAAAAGAAAGATGTCATTTGGGTGTTGTAAACCAGATGAATGCCAATCAGTGAATGGGGAGGGCATGTCTTAGCTTCCTTTTATTCTTACTGTGCATGTTGCCATGGGAACTTGGACAATCTGTACCTTGTGACTTAGCACCATGTCCTAATCATCCTTGTATGCGCTTCCCTGACTAGACTTAAGCTCCTGACATGACTTAGGATCTTATCATCACATCTCTAAAATCCAGTTCAAAGCCTGGTGATAAAACATTCACGATGAACACATGTTTGGCATCTTAAGCAATGGGAACACAAGAACCAAAAAACAAACAAACAAAAACAAAAACTAACAAAAAACCCGGTATATCCAAATTCAGAACACATCACGAAATAATTCTACCAAAGTGCCGTAAAAATCAGCAGCATTCACAAATTGTGTTTTGATGCTTTAAAACCAAGGTATTTAACTTTCTCAACAGGAATTTAAACAAGAGGTTTGGCTTTCTTAAGTTTAGTTTCCCAGTTTCCCTGGAACAAAGAACACTTATCTAGTCCACTTAAAATTGAAATTCCAAGCAAAGGCACCTCAGGAGGAAAATCCAGACTGATGCTGGCAAAGAATGGACTGGTTAGTAGGGTTCTTATTTTTTCCATGAGTGTAAACATGCTTTAACTGGGAAAATTCAGCTGGAATACACAGTACTGTTTCTGCCAATACAATCTTCTTACATACTGAAGCCAACCAACAACCAGCAATCCTATAATATTTAAAGCAAGACAAACAAGCAATACCAAATGAGAAATTACAGCAATAATTGTGAGCCAACCCTCGCCCTGTTTCTACGGTCTTTAGGCAAGTAGATTAAAATTGGAGTGTATCGTCATATTCTAATACAATTTAAAAATATTTTCTGTATTTAGTCATCTGCTAACATAGTTAATATAACACAATCCTCAAATATCATGTATTAAAAATTAAATTACAAAAGAAACCCGTGCCAGACTTTTTCAATGCGCCAATTTACCCAGAAGGAATTCCACATTTCGCCAGAAGAGGCTGAACGCTGTTACTATAAAACACCAACAAAAGTGGATGTCATCAGCTTCATGTTAAACATCTGTGTTCCATTTCCACTGCAGGATGCCTAACACGTACATTATAAACCACCATAAATCCAAACTGTAAAAAGAAAAAAAATCCCCCCCAAACTTACAGCTCCTTTGCAGTAAAGCCGTAACTTCCCGGATGGAGTGCGAACCACCACCGACATTCTTTTCCTAGCGCTGAAATAAAGAGGTTTTCTGTAATGGCTCATCATACTGAAGATCTGCATAGGCATGTTTTTGTTGTGCTTCACATATTTTAATGCTCATAGTGACAAAATTAATCTGACCAAATTACAAGCCATATTCTTTTATTTATACAAATTGTCTCCTGATTGTACAGCTGGGTGCCTCGGAGAGTTGCATTATATTTTTTAAGATACCAGAGTATATCTACTGTCCTAAAGAAATAAACAAAACAGTGCCCCAGACACCTGTAAGAGTTAATACCCACCAGAGTAGCATCATAGTTTAATAATTAGTCTTTGAAAACTATTTGACTAGTATTCTATTATATGCTATATTTAAAAATTAAAAATGAAAATAATTTAAAATATATAATCACAGATAAAGGCAAATGCTAGTACTTTTAAGAAGCAATATAAGCATTTATTACTATTTAAATGATTATAGCAGGCCCCTTACTGAGAGGGGTACTGTCCAAAACCCCCAGCATTTTTTAGGAATTGTTTGCTTCTAGAATTTTCCATCAGATATTTTTAGAGTATGGTTGACCATGGGGAAGTGAAACCTCAGCCAGCATGGAAACACTACTTTATGAATACAGTAAACTGGTCTCGCCTACACACATTAACTCAGTTGTTCTTGAATCTTGCCATTCTTAGTCCAGTTCTGATTTAATGGTCCCTGATTCATCAATTTACTTCTCCTGGCAAGATCTATAAGTGTGCCTGGGAACTGTCTTCTGAGATCCATCAGAGTAAAATGGACATTGCAGAGAAAAGTCACCAAGTCAGAGAAGAATGCTATGGGATGTACAAAGCAGAGGTGCTCCATACTGACCACTGGTACATTTCATGCCTCTGTGAAGCTGGCTCCCTCACCCCTGTAGTCCCTCATCCCCACAGGGCCTCAACACATATCCTTCACTCTCCAAGTCCTTCCTGGCTTCGTTCCTGCTCTAGACTCTGAGTTTTGGGGGCTTACCTTGAATTTCCCACCCCTCACATTTTGCAGACTAAATATCTGGCTATGTATGCTCCCTCCTCTGTCGTATTTTCTTGACACAAGGGAGAAATATTTCTGCTTTTATCAGAGCCCTTCCTTGCATATGACTGTTAAATCACTCGCCTCACCTTCTCAGTAGTTTCATTCTAAAGTCATGAAACTCTCCTGTGAATCTGCCCCTTTACCCCTTTTATCTGGATCATGCTTATCCACAACATGCTCTAGTGTCTCCCTTATACCTCACCTAGCCAGGCATCCTCCCCCATGAGTCACAGGCCCCTTCAACTCTGTAACTCAACTCTGGGTGAAGTATGTCCATACACAGGCTCTATCCCATCTTCCCACCATGCCAACGAATACTTGACAGATCTTATTCAAAGTTCCCCTTAGCTATGCTGACAGCTGCCTCTGAATCGACAGTCATCCTTCAACTCTGTAACTCAACTCTGGGTGAAGTATGTCCATACACAGGCTATGCTGACAGCTGCCTCTGAATCGACAGTCACCCTTCTGGACTCAGCTCTGGACTATTTATTAGTCTACTTCTGTCCTCTGTATCTTTAATAATAAAGACTTTATTTTATTGAATACTGCCCTCCTAACTCTCTTAGTTGCTTATGCTCACCAAGCATTCTCACTGAGGTATACCACACAGTCCATTTCTTATTTCAAGGCAAGTTCTAAGTATGTGGCCAGAGCTGTCCTTAAACTTAGTCTGTAGCCCAGGGAAGCTTTGAATGTGTGATCTTGTTTCTGTCTCCAAAATAGCTAGGATTACAGGCCTGTGCCACAAGATTTAGCCATTCTTTTGCAATCAATCCTTAATAGAATTATTTCTAATTATTTCTAACTAGTGGCTCAGTCATCAGCCTTCCACTTTCCCCTTGGTTTATATTTTATCTTCAGAAGATTCTATTGACTTTTAGGCTTTTGGTATAATTTGGAGATCAGCGACTACCAAATGGGTATTTCAGCCATGGCTTTGGCTTTATGTTTTCGGCACTTGCATCTGTATGTCTCACAGACATCGAAAGGATAGCGTTTCCAAACATCTCATCTACCGCATCTGCTCCTATTCCTATGTCTGCTACCCACATACAGGGAATTTCTACATACCCAGTTGTTCGAGCTAGGATCCCTTCCCTTCCTTCTCTTTGTTCCTGCCCCACCATCTAATCTATAGCCAAATTCCATTGACCTCCCTCAAATAGGTGTAAAAAAAAGCCCATGGACTTTTCTTCAATCACACCCCTGTTATCCTGATCCAAGCTGCTAACACATGCACAGACACTATTTGAAAGCATCATGTTCCTTTCCCTTTCCATTCATTCTTAAGCCCACCCTCACTACAGAATCAAAGACTCGAAAGTCCTACTTTTGATTTATTTTTCTCCATGGCACTTTTCATAAAAGTAAAGTGTCCAAAAGAACCCCACATCTATATGCTAATTTATATGCTGCTTATATTACCTATAACACAAACAGGCATGGGAAAAACACTTTATCATGAAGACAGAGATGATCAATGTATGTGGGAATATTCTATCCTAGGCAATTAACTCAGTTTCTTCCTTTGAGCTGTTTGGAAAATATAGTGTAAGTACAGTGCTCAATATCTCAGCAGACCAGGAGTTATTTGACCATGCAGTCACTGCAAGATCAAGGCAGCAACCAAAGTTCACAAACCAAAGGCACTGTGTAAATCTACTTAAGTAGGAGAAAGCTCAGGAAAACAGGTGGGCATTTCTTTCCTCAAACAAAGCATTGCCTTCGTTTTTGAATTGTCCTTTGAGTGGCAGCACACTTCTTGAAGACCCTGTAGTAAGCCCAATTTGTCCCAAGACATAGAGTGGCTGGGCAACAATGCACAATGTAAGTCTGACTATAGTGGTATAGCTGAAGGCCTTCGCTCTAGCTGGGATGTAAAGACATTCCCATAAGATCCCTTATTTGATTCTTGGTCTCTCATTGGAGAGCTATTTTAGGAAGTTCTGAGAACTTTAGGAGATGAGGCCTACTTGGCTGAAAGGTATTACTGTCAGAGTGGTCATAAGGATTATGGCTTGGCCTTCTTCTCATGGAGATTTAACGAGACATGCCATGAGCTCTTTGTACCATGCCTAGAGCTCCAGGCACCTTGCTCTCCCTGCCATGATGGACTGTATCCTTCTAAAACACGAACCAAGGTAATCTTTCTTTCTTTATGTTACTTCTGGCAGAATCTTATCTCAGTGATTAACAGCCAACTTTCATTTCTCTTTAAGAAAGGAGTGAGTGGGACACTCACTTTGCTTTCTGTTCCTTCCTGCTAGATGGTAACTCTTACTTTACAGAGACAAGTGGACCTAAGGAACATACAATTATAATGGAGGCTTCCTAACTCTTATTAATTTTATTCCACATAAATCTTGTTGCCTCTAAAGGTGGGAAATTTTTAGGTCTTTAGCTGCTACAGTTTGGAACTGAAATCTACCCCCAAAGGCCCATGTGTGGAGGATTGATTCCAGAGAGGTGCTATTAGGAGGTGGGAACCTTTAAAAGGTAAGAGGTCTTTGGGCCATTGTGGGTATGCCTTGAGAGGGACTGTGAAACCAGAGTCAACTTTCTTGTTCTCTTTGAGGTTTTGAAGTGTCTCTTGAGCACTAACGCAACCTTTGAAGACTCCATGGTAGGACCATCAAGCCACGAGGTGAGTAGATTTACCTCATGTGTTACCTCACCACAGGTCCAAAGTAGCTAGGCTCATTGATCATGGAGTGCAACCTCTAAAATGTGTCAAAATGAACTTATTGTTAGAAGGTGATTATTTCAGGCATTCATTATTATATCAGAAAGCTAACTAACATGCCAGCCACAGGACTCTTAGTCCTATCCTGCATGTGTGATTGAGGTAATTACATTTCAAAAAGAACTTTTAAGCTGCCAGCAGAAGTAATGGAGTACCACCCGGAAGAAACCTGTGTATGACTTACCTACTAACAGGACACCTAAACCACATGAAAGATCTTAGTGATTTGCTTAAACACATAAATAAAAGTAAAGAATATATTCCAGCTATATATAGGAAAAACAAAAAAAGGATGAACATGTATTTTTCCCCTCACAAATTATAGAGCAGGTGTCTTTACCTGGTGAACTCTAGAACATTGAGCAATTCGTATCTTTCTTCCTGCCCCAGCTGCAGAATAAAAGAATTGGAAATATGTTAGGTTTCTTGGAAATAATCACTGGGAATAAAATTTTATTGTAAAATATCAATACAAACATAGTTTCCCTTCCTCCTTCTGAATGATGGAAGAGAATTTACTCAACTTTTAGGTTGATGAATATTGAGAGCTCAGAAGCAGGCCAGAGAACAACTGAGGTCCTAATGGAGACTGTGACAGAACTGCTAACAGACAAGATTATCTATTGTGACTGTGCTGAGGTTACTAGCTAAGAAGATATGGGCCCAGGAAGTCAGAGAAAGAAAATAAAACAATAAAAAAAAATGTCAAAAATTTAATTTTAGGAAATAATGGAAAAATTAATTTTTAAGAAAAAAATTGAGTTAGTAAAGAGTTTAATAAAAAGATACCATGTACAAAGACGCTTAACTATGAATACATGTACAGGTGCAACAGAAACACTAATAGTAATTTTTAAAAGGAGATAGCATTTACATTAACTAAAATACAGAGATCTTCCATGCAAACTGTATAGATTGATAAAGGTGCCGCCTGTGTAAACACCACCCTGTTGGAGATGCAGAACATCTGACCCATAATGAATTTCCTTGTCCCATTTCCAATCAATCTTCTCCCTGCCCCAAGGCTGTTCAGGATTCGATCGTTATAAATCACTTCTGCACTGTTTCCAGCTGCATACAGATGGAGCTATAAGGATGCTTTCCCTTGTGCTTGGCATTTCCCCCTTCTCAACATAGAGTTTTTGTGATTTATCCACACTATAGAAGAATCAATAATTCACTCTTTTCATTGTTTAGATTGTCAAATGGATCACAACCTGTTCATCCTCTCCTGCTGATATGCATTCTGTTTGTTTCTAGTTTGGTGGAACTATGAACACAGCCACCATGAACACCCCATTGTAAGTCTTTTGGTGGACACAAACTTCCTTTTCTCCTGAGTAACTGAGAACAGAGTATAGCTGCTGGATCGAGGCAGGCTTTCCTTTATTCTCTAATTTATTCTCTCTTTAAAAAAACCCACTAACATTTGTTTCCATCAATATTGTTTAAATTTTGTCTTCACAGTGGGTGCATAATATAGTATTTCACTATGGTTTTGTATTTCCTTGATGACTAGCCATGGTCTGTCATGTAGCTATTCGATGTCACCTGCTGTGATAATGTCTATTCAAAGTTTCCCACTTTAAAGCAGATCCTGAAGAATTACCTTTTTATTGTTGTTAGCTGTTTTGAGACAGTCTCATGTAGCCCAGGCTGGCTTTAAACTCACTTTGTAGCTCAGGCTGGCTCTGAACCCCAGATGGTCCTGTCTCCTACCTCCCATGCACTGTGATAACAGGCCTATGCACTACGCCCAGCCTTCTGGATACTTATATAACTAAATATTTAATAACATCTGGAATCTAGAGAAGAAACAAATGGTAATATGGATAATTCAAGGGAGATAAATCTCCATTTGGTAGAACAGAAAATCAGTAGGTAAGTCTAGTTTTGAAGAATCAATATTGTCTATTAAGCATATTATCAGCCACAATTTTGTTAAGTGTTTAAAGAATTAAATGAAAGGTTGGATAGTGGTGCCCCTGGATAGGAAACTTTGGTTTCACTGTGATCTTTTCCTTACTGCCTTTATCTCTGAAGCTACGTGAATGCATTAATGTAGGCTTTAAAAAGCCCTTAACATATAAGTGACTTACCGAATCTATGATGACCGAGTCAGGAGTTCTTCCAGTGAAGACAAAATTCAACTGCTTGGCCGCTCTGACCAGTGCTCCCTCATCTGTGTGAGGGGAAAAGGTGAAAGAAACAGAGGACAGAAAAATGTAATATATGCAAGCGTAAGGGAAAGACACTGGCATCACACAGTGTTCTGCTCTATTAGAATTCTTTTCATTATGCTCTGAAATCCATTCCTTTTTATTGTATGATGATGGCAGAGCAGTGAGAACAACTTCAGTATCATGTTCCTGAGCCTGAGTCTCACTGTTAGTCACCCACACCCAGAAGTGACAGCTTGAAAGGGCCCCTTAGTATACACTTGAGAACACCTTCCTCCAAACACGTGGCAGAAAGTCTTTTAAAGTTTCATTCTTTCTCCCTAGATGGTTGAATGCTCATTCCAGTGCCCAGGGAACCGCTTAAAGTGAAAAGGCTCAGTTTATGCCAGTTGCTTTCCTCACTGTGTCACCAAGCCCTGTCACTGCTGAGAGGGACCTCTCTCTCTCTCTCTCTCTCTCTCTCTCTCTCTCTCTCTGTGTCTCTCTCTAAAACAGCAATATTTCTTATGCTGGTTTAGAAATTTGATGCATTTTACAAGTATTAACTACTAGTTCAGAATATGGTTTTAAAATACAAAGCATATCTTTCACTGAAAGTTTGGATTATTTACCTAATTTTATCTTGGAAATAACTCTAAAATCAAGCCTAAATAATAAGCATTGGTAACTAGTAAATATTTTACAGAATCCCCCAAAGTGCAAGACTCTTTTCCTCACCTAAGTGAATACAGAAAAGGTGACCCACCATTTCCTAAAGAGAGGGACAGAATTATATTCTAAAACTAAACATATCAATTTTATTTAGGCAAACAAATCCCTCCTTCCCATCTGTCTATGTGTAAAACACATTATGCAAGAGTTTATGCTTATTTATAAGGGGACCAATTACATGTATACAAATACTTTTATTCCCTCAATTTTTCATATAATTCATTTGAGAAAAATCACAAAGAAATGCATTTTAACACACACACACACACACACACACACACACACACACACACACACTATTTAATCCTGAAAGCCAAGTTTGTAATTAGGAGCCAATTTTCTTCAATCTAAAATAATAATTTGGTTATGTTCCATTTTTAAAATTAAATTGGAAATTTAAGTTCCACAGTACTAAATTTCAGAACAACTTTCTACAGAAAAACACCCCACAGTTGCTTGCCCCATACCTGGAGATGCTGCCTGATAGAGGATCTTCTCTCCTTCTCTCTCTGGTACAGCTGTGTGGCAGACTGCCATCATTGTGAGAAATTCACAAATGATAGGTGCGGTCGGCTGTGAGGAATAAACACATAATTCATCCCTTTCATTTAAACATTTGACACTAACGGCAGTAATGTTACTTCATGGCCATTTATTAAGAGCACAGCTGGGAAGCATTGGGGGTGTGGGATTACAGCCAATATCTATTACGAAGAAAACCTATTTAGAAGTCAATTTATTTGTTCTTGTACTTCCTCATTCATTCTGTAAACATTTATTTAACATGATTTTGTGCTCTTAAACAGAAATGTAGAAAAAGATGATGAATTTGGTTCTTAGTGGACAGAAGAGGTATTCTAAAATGTTTGATTATTTGTTTGATTTTTTAATGAGATTGAAATTCCAGGCATCTAATCTTTGAGTGGGGATAATAATGTGTGCATTTGTCTGTAATCCTGTCTTCCCTTTCTCCAACATATCATCTATATACTTATATCTATATATTTATCCATCCATCATCTATTATCTATCATCTATCTATCTATCTATCTATCTATCTATCTATCTATCTATCATCTACCTACCTACCTACCTACCTACCTATCATCTATCAATCTAAAACAAACAATTATTGAGCACTATCAACTCTACAGGTTTGAGGAAGACTGAAGAGTGAATCCTTTCTGTAAGTATCTCAGATCCAATGAGAATAGTAAACATCTTCCTGCCTGGCTTCTAGAGAGAAATGTCATTCAAATTAATAAAAAAAATTTGATATATGTCCATGTTCATATAACCTTCAAAATAAAGCAAACCAATTGAAAAGGTTAAATTGGGTTATGGAAACAAAAACTGCTTAGTGTAAAGAGAGTGAACAAAGCACACGTGGCCCAGCAATGAAGCTTGTACTTTTGGAGACAGCAATACCAAGTGGCTGTACTGTTTATTTACAGTATGCCAAGGACTGTAAAGGGAACATGCAAATGTCATGTGAGGTGACAGGAGATGGTGGCTATCCATGAGATATGGAGATAGCTATATGGATGACATCTGAACTTCACAAACAACTGAGAACAGAGAATTCTACTGGGAAGAATGGCATGTAACTAAAAAAAGTCCCAAAGGAGGAAAGATGGAAGTATCTGAAAAAATGAAAGGCCATGGTGGCCTCTGCAGGGAGAAAGAAAAAGTGGCATAAGTAGAGTGGTGATGTAGGTTGGGGTCAGATCACGACATTCTGTAAGGAAAGAGGGAAGCCAGGGAGGTAATATGACTTGATTCCAGGGCAGTATTTCATCAGTGAAGACACAAACCAGGAGAGCTGGGTGGGAGGCTGAAGAACACAGGCTGTCTGAATAGGGGAAATGTAGGGAACAGTTAACTGCAGTAGATACTTGGGCTATGTCATAAGTCAGGATGAGCAGGTGGTGCTCTTAGCAGCACAGTTAAAACTATGATGCCTGAAAGAGAAGAGAGGCATTCTCTAACATTATAAGCAAGAAGAGATTTTGCCTGATGATATAGCACCTTGTGTTTTAGTTTAATTTCATTTTTGCTGTTTTTTTTAAAAAGAATGCCCACTGGTGTTTACATATTTTATATTGCTTAACTAGGTTAGATTGTTCTGTTTCTGTATCATTCTATTGTATTCTCTCTATTTCTCATATCTACAACCCTCTCATTCCTACCTCCATTTTTCTCCCCACTCTGCTCTCTATACACTTTCCAATTTCTGCTCTCTATACACTTTCCAATTTCCCTCTAGCTTTAATAATATATAAATTATGTTTATTCTAACAATATCCTAACTCCCCTTCCTATTTAGGGGGAGCATGGAAAATAGGCTCAATAAAATCACAGCAGAAAATGCTTCAAATCTAGGCAAAGATATAAGCATCCTGACAGAAGAGACATTTAGAACATTGGTACACATAAAATAAATCTAAAAAAGGTCATGTAAGTAAAAACAAAAAACATGGAAGGCAGCTGAGAAACGCTCATCTACTGGGGACAGATAACGCTCCGATGACACTCACATGGTTATTCTGGAGATTTTCCAGCAATGATGGGTCATTAAATGTTTTTTCATCTCCAAACTGTGAGCTCTGCCTAAAGGGGAAGAAAATAAAGCAAAGTTAGTTTGTTTATACAGACTGGCCTACTCATTTACTACTAATGATGAATGATTACCCTCAATGAATTCATGATTTCATGACTATCATTTTTTTTAAAGAGTCTAAGTATTAATGAGGTTATTAAAATAGGTTTTTACTTTGGCTGTGTGATAACTCTATATGTGTAGTAACATATACAAATGATCTTATGAAACATAAAAATGTGAACAATAAAATATTTACATAGTTTTTCAACATTTATAATTATGTATAAAAACATTTCTGAGTATATTACATTATGTTGTACAGAAAGGAAAGCAATGATGAACGTATATGGGATTTGTATTTCGGCTGGCTCTTTACATCAACAATTGAAAGAAATATAACCTGTATTAACTTTCTAACCTATTATTAATCTCATGACCATGCACTTAAGAAAATCAAACCAAAAACAAGGAATATGTAAGTAGGCATGTCAAAATACTTGAAAGTATCTTTGAAGTGCACCTTGAAAATCTAGACATGAACTTTTTATTTTGTACAAAAGTTTCAGAATTGACTGGGAAAAACTAACATCTCCAAGAAAGAAGTAATCATAAACTAGAAGTTTTTAATCACCATTTAATTTTAAGTTACAGAGTTTTGACAATGCTAATGTCAAGTTTCAAGACTTTCTTTCACATCTTAAAATCATGCTCTGAAAAGGTGAGATCATTGAAGAAAGAAGAATATAATATACCAGCACCCTCCTCAAAATTGATGAAGTAAAATCAATGAGTGCTTGCAATATTATACAGCTTTCTTTACTTAAATATCAGTGTTTGGCTGATTAATTATCAAAATTATATGATATCTTTGTTAGCAGGTTGTAGTTAAGGATTCTCAAAATTATCATTGGTATTATTGGTTTAGTATTAAGTATGGTGATCCAATAGCTTTTAAATGACTTATCAGTGGGTGGATAGAAAAACTAACACATTTCTCCTATAAATATTGTCATTTATAAAGAATAGTTTTACTATTGGGCTGCTAAGACAGCTCAGTGGGGAAAGGCACTTGATGGCAAACCTGATGACTCAAGTTTGGTCCCTGGGACTCCCAGTGTAAGGTAAGAACTGATTCTACAGGCAGTCCCTATCAAAGGCTTCCACTCTGTAACACATTAAATAAGAACTCCCTTCTATCAAGTGGCTTCCATGGGAAATCACAGGCAACTCATCCTCTGGCAAGGTAGCTTGACTAGGATGATTCATGCACAGAGTCATCACTACCAACTTAATCTTACAAAATATCTACTTTTGGTAAAAAGAAAAAATGAGCAAAAAAGTTTAGGAAGGTTACATTATTTAAAAATAAGAATTACTATGCTAAGCGAATAAATATTTAAAGCTATAGGCATTTACACTTTGCCTTCATATAAAAATGCAAGCCAACATCAACATATCACATCTCTTTTTATCCCCCTTAAAAAATTAAAAGTGGCACTTTGCTCATAAAGAGACAAAAACTTGATGGCAAAGATAGACAAGCAGGGTGTGGACCAGTTAAGAGAAAGAGGAGAAAACATGTCTAGCTCCCTGCATCATATGTAG